AGAAGCTGGTGAGCTGGAACTTCCAGAAGGCTATTGCATTTTGAAATGACCTATGGTATAATTAACCCCAAATATCAACATATACATGATAATAGACTATCATACAGCTAGGAAGAGGGTCCTGCATGCCATATGAGTTCAGCTTTATTAATGTCTTGAGAGCAAAAGATGAAATCCTTGGAGTCTTGGGAATGCCATAATGTTGGGGAGCAGTGCTAGAGTTGAGAGGGGGCCTGAATGGGCGGCATATTTACTTTACTTGGTATGTGGCCTTTCATCTAGTCTTCTTTGTCCCCTGGGATTTTCTTAAGCCCAGCAGGTTTTGGTGTTAATTCTGCCTGTCTGTGACCAGTTTATGCTCATGAAGGAAACCTTACATTCAGAGATTCAAGTCTCTTGCATATGGTGGTGATGATGTTAGGCTGGCTGAGAACTCACAGAGATCTGCCAGCCTCTACCTGCACAGTGCTGGGATTAAAGGTGTGTGCCACTATGCCCTGCTGATGCTGGCAGTTTTGAATTAGTAAACCCACAGCCACCACTGAAATACTTATGCCTCAGAAGATGTTCATAAAAACAATAAACAAACACAGATGTTCCTGCAGGCATGGTGGTGCACACCTTTAATCCCAGCATGCAGGGGGAAGAAGCAGGTGGTTCTCTTTGAGTTCAAGGCCAGGCAGGAACTTGCTTCACCATACATTTGTACCACTATGTCTGGTTTAAGGATCCTTTCATTTGTTTTTGGAGATGGGATATAATACAGACTCACTACCTAAAAAAGGCCAGCTTTGAAGTCTTTTCATTTAATTAGTTAGTTTTTTTGAGACAGGATCTCTCTATATGGCACTGATTGTGCTGGAATTCACTTTGTAGACCAAACTGGGCTCAAACATACAGAGATCTTCCTGCCCAATGATGGTGGTGCACACCTTTTTTTTTTTTTTTTTTTTTAGTTTTTCGAGACAGGGTTTCTCTGTGTAGCTTTGCACCTTTCCTGGAACTCACTTGGTAGTCCAGGCTGGCCTCGAACTCACAGAGATCTGCCGGCCTCTGCCTCCCGAGTGCTGGGATTAAAGGCGTGCGCCACCACCGCCTTTAATCCTAGCACTTGGGAGGCAGAGGCAGGTGGATCTCTATGAGTTCCAGGCCACTCTGATCTACAGAGTGAGTCCCAGGGCAGGCTCCATAGAGAAACCTTGTCTCAACAAACAAACAAACAAACAACAAAAAAAAAAGAAAGGAAAAAAAGAAAACAATATGAATCACCATGCCTTGTCCTCTCTATTAATTTTTGGTTATATTTGTTTATTCTGTGTGCCTATCTGTATGAGTGTGGGCATGTGTGGGACACAGCTTCTACATGTGGAAGACAGAGTCACTGGTATGCTGAATTTGTTATTATCTTATTCCCAACGACAATACAAAGAGTCTGACAGAGGAAGTCAGAACATTGCCCAAGATTCCACCTCAGTCTTAAGGTCCTCCATGCACAAAGGTAAATGGCCTGAAATGAAACCAACCTTCATCAGAGGCCACCCTCTGCTTCTCTAGCTCCCTCCCAGTGCCAAGTGTCCTGTCAAGGATCCAAGCCTTTTCTCAACCCAGCTTACTGAATTGTTCTCCAAATGGGTGTGAGAACTGGTTCTACGTTTACATTTTTCTCATTCATCTTTTGAAAAAAGATTATTGGATTTATTTTTGTTCGGCGGGGACTCTGTGTCTGCATAATGTTCACATGGAACTGGCAGGGGCTGGTTCCTCCTTTCAGCATGTGGGTCCTAGGGATTGAACTGAGGCTTGATGGCAAGACCTTTCCCCATTGAGCTGTCTCTCACCAACCCCAACTCCTGCCTCCAGATCTTCAAGCCCATCCTGCCACCCTGTGCTACCAGAGCCAGCTCATTCATCTTAAGACATATGGAGACCATACTTCTTGTTGCTCAGGTTACTGAGTGACTATAACTTAATAGTGGGATGTTCAGTTGAACAGAAATAAAAGCATAAGTTTGAATACTTTAGTGCAAAACAAAACCAATTCTTAGGCCTGGTGTGGTGGTGCAGGCCTTTAATCCCTGGGAGGCAGGGCCAAGTAGATCTCTGTGACTTCTAGATCAGCTTGGTCCATATAGTGAGAGGCTGTGTAAAAACAAAAATAAAAACAAAAACAAAAAACAAAACATATGTCAGATAGAGTCTTGTTTGAGCATCTTAGGGAAGTGTCTACTGAATGATGTGGCCTGTATTTAGGGAAAAGCTTACTGATGTATATTGAAATTTTATTTTTGGTTGTGAGCCTAGCCTTTAATGTCTGAGCCATCTCTCCAGCCCTATAGCCCATTTTATATCAGCGGGCATGGTACTGTACAAGGTGACTACAGAAAAGTGCCTTTGGATACAGCTGAGTGTTGATGAACAGACTCAGTATATTCAAAGCCCTGGGTTGGCTCCTCAGCCCCAAAGAAGTAAAGAAATATTTAATTCAAGCTCTAGATCGCAGATTGTCTCACATTTGTTGGTAGGTCATTATGCTCGTTGAAATCTGTTCCTGATGAGTGTACCAAAGACTTGAAGCTGATCATATTAGAGCCAGGAAGGGCAAGGGAGACACTGAGTCCATCATCAAAGTCACAGGTCTTCAAGAGGAATCCACATAGATATTTGCTTCACCCCCAGCTGGCCTGAAATAACTGCAAAGACCAGGATGGCCTCAAACTCACTGAGATCCAGCTGTTTCTGTCCCACATGTGATGGGATTAAAGGCCTGAGCTACTAGAATTGACCAGCTTTGGTGTTCATACAGGAGTGGCTCTAGAGGCCATTAAGACTAGTGGAAGATTTGCCCAACATAAGACAGTCAACTTGGTTTACTACACATTTAATTTGTATGTGTAGACAAGGAGACAACTTGTGTGAGCTGACTTTCTCTCTCCTTCCACCAACTGTATTGGTTCCAAAAGTGTAACTCAGGTCTTTCTGCAGGGCAGCAGGCATCTCTATCAGGAGCCATCTTGCTGGCTGAGGTGATTTAGTTTAAGTAAATTAAGTTTCAGAATACTGTTTGTCTATTTTTTTTTCTGATAATGTTGAATGGGATAAGGGCAAAATTAGTACTAGAGCTCTTGGCATAACACACAAGGCTAGGCCATGTCCTCCTGCAGTCCTCCTGCTTTGGCCTGTCTGGTATACAACTCAAGATGGCTCGGCACCAGATCTTAAATATGTTCATCTGAGAAATCAAGAAGAAGTATCTATGGGCCACCTATGGCTGCTTGTCTGCCTGAGGGCATATTGAGTGGCATCTCCCTGTGGTCACTGACTGAAGATGTAGACCAGTTTCATAGAGCTATGAAATCCATAGGAGGTCAAGCAGTATTCCCCTTCCCCACTACCCCAGTTTCAGGACACTGGACCTTGTTATGCCCAGATTGCAGGGACCCCCAAAAATCACCATGGAAAATCCCGTATGTAAAACCAAAGAGCCTTACTTTTTTCAAGCTCACAGCTTAGAGTCTCTGTCCAGTACAGCAGGGAGAGCAGAGAGCCCAGAGCCAAGGCAGTGTGGGGTGAGGGGATTTCCAGGGTTCAGAGTCCTGTTTGGCTGACATTTGTCTAGGGTATAGGGAATGTTTGAAATATCAGGCATTTGCTCTTAGATGCAGGCCCCACTGGGTGGGGTCAGCTTATGGCTTCTCTGGGTTCAGAGATTGCCTGCCAGAAGCTGTGTCTGGGCCTCAGGTATTTCCCCTTAGATGCAGCACCATTGGGTGAGGTCAGCTTATTGCATTTCTTGAGTCCAGGTGTTTCCTGTCAGAAGCTGTGTCTGGGCTTCTAAGGGTATCATGGCAGCTGTGTGGTCAAGCTGTTTTGGGCCCCCACACAGACCTAAGCTTGGCTGCTCCTCTGAGGCTTTTTGTTGCTCTTTTCCAGACAGGTCCTTGGTGTGGATACTCTAGTTAGGAAGAAAGGAAGGGAGGGAGGGAGGGAGGGAGGGAGGGAGGAAGAAATGAAGGAAGAAACAAGCCTTAGTGTTTGTACAGTGACTGCATTTGGGACATTGTCTTCAGAGTGCTCTCAATTCCTTCTCTTTTCTGCCTGGAAATCTAATCAATCTGGACATACCTTATTACATATGGTCTTCTGAGACAGGAGGATTACTGAGACCCATTCAGGTGGGCTCAGAGTACAGTAAGAGTTCCAGACAGTCCTGAAGTAAAGTGTGAGACATCAACATCTACCAAAGTAATAATGTAAATTAGACAAAGAATCCCAGAGCTCAGAGTTTGAAGAGGAGTATTATGGATGAGCCTGGGACCTTGACCATCATCTCAGATTTCACCCATTCCCATAGTAAGGTCTGATTCACTCAAATTACTGATGCAAAATCCCAAATAGTTAGATTAAATGGGTGAGAACTTCCTCATCCAATCAGTTGGCAGCTTGTGTCTAAGAGGTGGGGCTCCAAAGGGAAAGCAAGGGGGAAGTGGATACAAGGGTCAGGAAAGCTAGGCAAGACACTGTGACCATTACAATCTGGAGTGACCGACTTACCCTGCTGTGATTGGAAGACCAGAGTCCAGATCAGACAAGTCATTCACCCTATCAAGAAGCCCCATTTCACCCAGGCTAGCCTGTCTCTCATTTCATCTTCATTTTTTTTTTTTTTATTGTTTGGTGTGTCTACTGTGAAGGAGAAAATTTCATTTAGCCCAGACCTAGTTTATACCTCTATATGTAAGCTTTTATACCCTGTTACTACTCACCAGGCTGGCCTCAAACTCAGAGATCCTCCTGCCTCTGCCTCCCACAGCTGAGATTAAAGGCGTGTGGCCCCACCGACCTGCCTCAAAGGGATTTTAGACAGAGGATCTGATCTTGGGAAGGTTTGTCAAAAAGTCAAAGGTTTAAATCCCTTAATAAAATTAGATCTAGATCATAATGAAGAAAAGCCTGGTTCGTCGCCCCTCCCACCATCACCATGAGCTGCAGCGGCTCCAGCAATGACCCTGAGGCAGCAGCAGCTCATGCCCCACCCCGGTCGCGGGTTGGGCACCTCCTCTATTGGCTCCTGCCAGGCTGCCCACCAGCACAGCCCTGTGGGAATGGCAGGGCGACCCGGGGCTGGAGCTATCACTAAGGGCAGGGGCCCTGTGGAGGTGCCAGCCAGGGAGCCTGCAGAGCAACATGGGCAGGCATCAGTGGCAGTGGGCGACAAGGCTCCCCCTGAAGGGGCAATGTCTAAGGGCCTATATGCCCTGCAGAGAAAGGCCAACAGAGAAGTGAAGCCCATAGTGTCCAGCAAGTCTCCTGTAAACTTCTTGATGCAGCTGGAGGATTACACTCCTACGATACCAGATGCAGTGACCGCTTATTACCTGAATCCTGCTGGCTTTGAAACTTCAGACCCATTCATAATTCGGCTCATCTCACTAGCTGCCCAGAAGTTCATCTCAGATATTGCCAACGATGCCCTACAGCACTGCAAAATGAAGGGCACAACCTCTGGCAGCTCCCTGACCAAGAGCAAGGACCGCAAGTACCCTTACCATGGGGGACTTGACCCCTGCCCTCAGCGAATATGGTATCCATGAGAAGAAGCCCACTACTTCACCTGAGCCACCTAACCCAGACTTATTTGTCTTTTCCTCTGTCCCCACACCAGCCTGTTTCCATAATAAACTTTATTCTGAAAAACAGAAAGAAAAAACAAAGAAAGAAATGCGTTTTCATTTACCAGAGGGATAATTAAAAGAATTTAAAAGTCAGACAGAGCCGGGCAGTGGTGGCTCACGCCTTTAATCCCAGCACTCAGGAGGCAGAGGCAGGCGGATCTTTGTGAGTTCAAGGCCAGCCTGGTCTAGAGAGCGAGATCCAGGAAAGGCGCAAAGCTACACAGAGAAATCCTGTCTCGAAAAACCAAAAAAAGAAAAATAAAAAGTTAAGACAGGAAGTCACGAACATAATAAAGGAATTAAAAGGCTGTCTTGGCTTGTGCCTATACCTAGCACTAGGGAGGCTGAGGCTGGAGGATTGCTTAAAGCTCAAGACAAGCTTGCACCGCAGACACTGTTGTATTTTAAAAATGGTGAGTCAGCAGGAAGGAGTCACACCATACAACAGGTCCACGTGGGAGGATTATGGAGGGGAGGGGAGAGAAGGGGCAGAGACAGGTCTCTGGGGACGAGAGTGAAGCAAGAGAAAGAGACAGGAGGTGTACAAGGCCAGCCTTTTATAAGGAAACATAGCGAATGCGCACAGGGGATGCTCATAGAGGTTGCAGCTGAGATATATCCTGTCAGGACCCTGAGGGCAGGCCAGGTGTCCTAAATGCTAACAGACAACACTCATCCTTCCAGAAGCTTTCAGGATCTGGTCACAGCTTTTACAATAATTTATTTTGGTTTTTCTATGTACATGTGTGTATGCACATATGGTTCCCACAGAGGTCTGAAGAGGACATTGGGTCCTCTGGAATTGGAGTTACAAGAGCCATCACCTACTGTGAGTGCTGAAACCCAAACTCAGGTCCTCCAGAGAGCAGCAAGCTCTCTTAATCACTGAGCCTTCCTTCCTTCTAAGCCTGGTCCCTTCCTGTCTTAATCATACACCTTTTTTAATTTTTTAAAATGTATTATTTTAATTACACTCATGGTATTCATTAATTTACACTCATGATATTAACTACATTTGTGGTATTCATTGATTACATTTGCACTATTCATTCAATAACTTTCTTTATGATATTCATTAATTACATTAATTGTACTGATTTATTACATTCATGATATTATGTTCCGATACTACTGTCCATTTGTGAGGCTTTTCCATCACACCAAACAGAGATTCTGTACTTAAGAAATCATTGCTCTATATTCCTTTCTTTCCAATCTGGAGATAACAGCTAATCTTTCTGTCTCTATGAATTTTTATATTCTATATATTTCATGTAATACAATTCTATAGTATTTGTCCTTTTTATTGAATGTAAAAACATTTTATGTACAACTGCAGGAGAAATAATGCACAGATAGCTTGAACATAAAAACTGGTTATAATTCAAAAGACCAGAGTCATTTGAAACAAGAAAATATTTTCTCTGTAGAAAATAGTAAAAATGATAACATTTCCCAATAAACCCCTTTAAGCCAAATAATAGCTGAATTATACATATAAATTTTGATTAGGTTGTGGGATACATAAGAAACCTATCTTCATCTGTTCAGAGAGCTATGTTTTACTAAAGTTGTGCAAGTGATGTTCCTGAAGGGGAACTTCACTGATTTATGGCAGACATTTTTCTATAGGCTAATCCATAATCTAAAAAGGTTTTAGCCTCCCCTCCTGAAATTACAGCCACCATATTCTCTCATCAGCTTGATACAGTACAAATTCTTATCCTAATAGTGAAATGATTCACTCAAACTTGCCCAGTGGTTGGGCAAAACCAAAACTTACAAGCCAAAGTCATCCTTGGGTCCCCACTGGTAGGTACTCTCCCTGGATCAGTGGGTTGCAGTCTGATTGTCCTTTGCTTTATATCTAGGGTCCACTAGTGAGTACATACCATGTTTGTCCTTCTGAGTCTGGGTTACCTCAATCAGGATGATATTTTCTAGTTCCATCCATTTGCCTGACAATTTCATGATGTCATTGTTTTTCTCTGCTGAGTAGTATTCCATTTTGTATATGTACCACATTTTCATAATCCATTCTTCAGTTGACAGGCATCTAGGTTGTTTCCAGGTTCTGGCTATTATGAATAATGCTGCTACGGACATAGTTGAGCATGTATCTTTGTGGTATGATTGAGCATTCCTTTGGGGCTGGCTTCTTGTCTCAAGGGCTAGTGTATGCATGGCCGGAGTCTTGTGACTGATGCTGCCTTTTGGGGAGAAGAGGGAAGACAGATGGCTCAGAAGTCCATGGAACTGTGGGCCAGGTAGTCCTTTCGGCCAATATTGATGACCTGCTTTGTCTACATAGCTTTGAGTTTGGGGCAGAAAGACATGATACCCCACTAGCCCCCTAGCACATACCCATGGAACTCTATACTCCAAAGTTGTCTGACATAGCTAGGTTCCCTAAACCAGGCTCTAAATCTTTGAAAATTAAAAGCAATGATCCCATTTCACAGATTCTTCTCAGTTTTTGCCAGGCAGGATCAATTTGTTAAAAGCCCAATATGGGTAGCTTATACATATAATACTTCCATTGTCTCTGAAAAGGGGTTAGTATCCTTTCTGCCATAAGAAACGGAGCTTAGATTTTTTTTCCTTCCCGGTTTCCCCCTTCCAAAGGCTTATGGGACTCAGAGTAGCAAAGGTTGGAACTGGATGGGACACTGGTGAATGGGAATGATCGTGAGAGGCTCCACATGCTACCAGGGTAGCAGCATTTGCCTATGAGACTGCCAAAGAGTGCTGTGGTGAGTTAACCCAAGTCTCCATCAAGGCCAGAGTCGTGACAGATGCTCACTGTGAGGGGGAGAAATCTTCATGAGACAGACTGAAAAAATATTTTCTCCTAAATTCTTCCCCAGGATCATCTCCCTTAACATCCATCAGAATGAGCCTCCAGGCCCCACCCACACTCCTGCAACTGGCAGTGCAAAGCTTAGTGAGAAATGAGACCTTGGCCATCTCTACTCTGCAGGACCAGCCAATGGAGTTCTTTCCCATACTGCTGAAGGAGGACAACACTCAGAGAAAAACAGAGATGATTAAGGCCCTGGTGGCAGACTGGCCCTACCCTTGCCTTTCTGTTGGGTTGCTAATGAAGAACCCCAACTTGGAGATCTACCAGGCTATGTTGGATGAAGTAGGCACATAGCTGCAAAGAGAGTCTCCCCCCAGGTAAGCAATAACCATATAATGCCAAATGCTACACACTGGCATATATGGAAGGAACATCTGGGATCAAGGAGTATGGGGTCAAAGGTGGATCAGAGACTTTGGCTGGTATACCGGAGGGCTGCAGGGGCCTTGACAGCTCTAGAGTCCTTGTAGCAAATAGCAATTAAGTATGAGATGGCTCTTGGTGCAGATGTAGCCACAGGAGAATGACCCTGTACCCCTGTCTCCACCAGGTAATAAAAAATAGGTTTATTCTGGGCAGTGGTGGCACATGCCTTTAACCCCAGCACTCGGGGAGTGCTGATCTCTGTGAGTTCAAGGATAGCCTGGTCTACAGAGCGAGATCCAGGACAGGCACTAAAACTACACAGAAAAACCCTGTCTCAGAAAAAAAAAAAAAAAGGCCAGGCAGTGGTGGTGCAAGCCTTTAATCCCAGCACTCAGGAGGCAGAACCAGGCAGATCTCTGAGTTCGAGGCCAGCCTGGGCTACAGAGTGAGTTCCAGGACAGGTTCCAAAGCTACACAGAGAAACCCTGTCTCAAAAAAGAAAACAAAAACAAACAACAACAACAACAAAACAATACTAGAAGACAGAAGTTCAGAGCAACTGAATGCAGGGAAACAGGACAGGTCTCCAATACACATCTCAGGCAAAAAGCTCATGCTTGACAAGCTTGAGGTTCTGTATTGGAGACCCAGCACTGAAAAGCAGGAACATGAAGAAGACAGAGATAAGCAGGGGAAAACTCCATCAGAGATGGAGAAAAAGTTTTGGGTCTCAACTTACCTTCTGACACTTCTCTTTTATCCACAGAAGGCAGAAGCTTCAAGTGCTTGACTTGAGGAATGTGCACCATGATTTCCGGGGTGTGTGGTCTGGAAGAGAAACAGAAACTTTGCCTGAGAAGCTATTAGTGCAGAGCCTTCTTCCTCAACGCACACTGAGGAGGCAGTGTTTAAAGGTTGTCACTGATCTTCACCTACCTGCGGATGAATACCAAAAGCAGTTGTTGAAATGGGCACAGGAGAAAAAGGATTCCCTGAAATTGTGCTGTGTGAGGCTGAGGATTGGTACAGAAGAAGGGGACACTGTCACGAAGGTCTTCGAAATTTTACAGCTGGAGTTCATCAAGGAGTTGGAACTGAACACAGTGGGTAATGTCTCCACACTGGCCAGTTTTGTACCTTTCATCAGGAAGATGAGAAATCTTCACAAAATCCTACTAGTACGTGTCTTCCAAGACCACGCCCACGCTCCTGCAACTGGCAGTACCACTGACAGGGATGAGACGTATGTCCACAAGATCATTTCTCAGTTCTCCAAACTCAACCGTCTCAAGCATGTCACCATAGATGATGTCTATTTCCTCAATGACCACATGAAACAGTTGCTTGGGTAAGAAAGGATGGAGAGCAGTTCCTGCTACCAGAGCAAACCTTTCTTTATACACTAGAGAGCAGTGGGCACCTGGGATCTGCAGACCTCTGTGCATTTCACAATGAACATGTAAGGATGAGCTTATTCCATGCTAACTGATTCAAGGGCCCACATGACCACCCATAAAGCTGAGCAATGAAGTGGGGTAGTTTGTATGGACAGAGCTGACAGGGTAGAAGGCCAGCATTGTGGGTTAGATCTAGGGAGGGTGGGTTGCTGTTTCCTCCATAGCAATCCTGACTGATCTAATGTGGAGGAACAGGAAAAGAAGAGGGCACTGCATAGGGAGGACTCAGACCT